CACACGCACACACACACGCAAGTGCAAGCGACTTAGTCGCACTGGGCCAAACATTCGTGTTTGGGGTTGTAGAGTTGTGGTGCAACGCCACGGCCCACGCCACTCACGACACCGAGGTGCCACGGCCGCGCTCGATGCTGTCTGTAGGTTGGCGACACCGGGAGAGGGCCGTGTTCATTTCTCTGTCGAACACTGCCTGCAACCATGGCATCACCCCAGCGAATGTTGATGTGAAGCTGTACAACGCACCTGCAACAAGAAAACAAGACACGCATATCCACACATCCGCACATCCGCTCACAGGGCGTCGCTCTGTTCCCCTGCTTCTAAGTCTGATTCAGACACGCCGTCATCGTCCCCCTCCTCACACTCTTCGCCCTCTTCTCCATCTTCACCCTCATCCATCCGTTCGTCAACCCAATCAACCTCCTCATCGAGCACGACTGCGGCTGCTTGTTCAACGTCCATCTCCTCAGTGCTATCAGCGCTCGCAGCTCGGGTGGTTGTACATGGTGCTGCTTGCTCTACTGCCTCCTCTTCGCCCCTGCCATCGATGATGCGCCGCTGCCGCTCCAGCTGCTTGTCGATCGAGTCGATGATGGCTTGCACGCGCGTCTTGCCATCTTTGCGGTACTGCCCGCGATCCTCTGCCAGGCGTTGGATTTCTTCCTCCAGACGCCTTTCAACATCCTCGAAGGTTGTATCGAGGCTGTATCTGCGGCCGACGTTGCCCTTGATCAGCGCCCACACGAGCTCGATTGGGTTGAGGTCGCTGTAGCACGGAGGGGAGAAGAGCACCTTGTGGCCTTGCGCCTCGGCCAGCTGCACCACCTCGGGTTGGACGTGGTTCTTCACCCACAACTTCAGGCGGTCTTTCAGCTCGCAGGAGAAGTCAATCTCGCTCACGGTCAGGTTCCTGGCTCGCAGAGCTGCAATGACGTCCGCTTTCTTCATTCTCCCCGGGACTGGCGTGTCTGGTGGGAGGGTGCGGTGGTACGCTGCGTTGTCCATGATGATGAGCGACGGCTGGTGCAGGTTCGGCAGCAACGCATCCTTGAACCAGCTGATGAAGTTGTCAGAATTAAAGGCTTTATGATAGTCCCCTGTATGGAAGCTCCCACGAGAAGGCTTCCGGGGACGGCCCTGCTGTTGCTGTGGTTGCTCAGGGAGGTCTTCGTCAGCGACGGGGCACTTCTTCCGCGTGTGCCCTGGCTGCTTGCATCGACCACACTTGCGTGTGGATGGTTGCTTCTGTGGTTGTTGAGGCAGGTTTTCTTCAGCGACGGGGCACTTCTTCCGCGTGTGCCCTGGCTGCTTGCACCGGCTGCACTTGCGCGCTGATGACTGCGATGCTTGTGGCTGCTCCTCATCGCCTGCACCGTCAGTCTGAGGAATTCGCAGGGGGATTGGAGGCAGACACGCCGATGGTGGTGATGGTGATGATGGTGGCGGCGGTGGCGGTTGAAGTGACGATGATGGTTGCGGAGGAGGAGGTGGTGGTGCTTGCTGCTGCTGCTGCTGTTGCTGCTGTTGCTGTTGTTGTTGTTGTTGTTGTTGTTGCTGCTGCTGCTGCTGCTGCTGCTGTTGCTGCTGCTGCTGCTGCTGCTGTTGTTGTTGTTGTTGTTGTTGTTGTTGTTGTTGTTGTTGTTGTTGTTGTTGTTGTTGTTGTGTTGTTGTTGTTGTTGTTGTTGTTGTTGTTGTTGTTGTTGTTGTTGTTGTTGTTGTTGTTGTCGTTGTCGTTGTTGTTGTCGTTGTTGTTGTTGTTGTTGTTGTCGTTGTTGTCGCCGCTCACGCTGCAGTGCGCTGCCAGGGTCGAAGATCCAGCTCGTGCCTGGAACAGGACCGGCGAGGGCGCGGTCGTTGCGGTCACTGACGGTGCACACGCGCGGATCCGGGCCCTGAACTGCGAGGGCAAAGCAGTAGCGCCGACCCCGCTTGATCTTGCGATGACTGTGCATGTCTTGACCGTCGTTGGGGTCATACAGGGAGTCTCTGTTCCTGTTGTAGTTCCTGTCAATGTATGATTCATCGAGATACACCTACAGGCAATTGAGCCACGTGAGACACGAAAAGGGAACATTGCACATGCGAAGAAACATCGACAACACAGCAGCATGGGCACACACACACACACACACACACACACACACACA